TCTGGCTTTACCTCAGTGTCTGCATCTGTAGAGTGGGTATAATGATCGCATCTGCCTCACAGGGTCATTGTGTCAATGAGAAAATACATGCGGAGTGTTTGCAACAGTCCTGAGCACAGGTCATTCTACTTTTTAATGCTGTTCTATAATCAGATCAAGAATGTAAGCCTCTCTCTGAACATTATCTTGAAAACAATTTTAGTTCATGAGTCACAGATCTCTCTTCAAGTGTCCCCCCCTCGCCAACACCCTCCCCCCCAGCCAAACACCTCCCCCTGCCAATCCTGCCTGGCTGCTGTGTGGTAAAAACTCAAGTTTCTCCAACACAAGACCCTCCTCTAGGGCATCTTACATGTTATTTTGTTCAGTTTCCACATTACTTCTGTGAAGGGGTGTTATTATCCTCAATTTTCAGATGGCAGAGAGACTGGAAGAATTTAGTGACCTGCCTAAAGTCACTCAGCCAGGTGTGGAAAGCTGGGATTTGCATCCAGGTTTTTGTTTGTGCAACACTTGACTGTTCTTCCCTCCCTTCCATATGATTCACGCACATCAGGGAATGAAAAGAAAGACAAGCCACATAATCACTGTATAGTTGCAACTTTCCTCTTAGGTCAAGAGGTTGTAATTCTCAGCAGCTCTGTGGGATTCAAAACCAGGTCCAAAAAACCTTGGACTAAAGTTTTTTTAACTATTCCACTCTGTTTTTCTTTCTTCTTTTTTTTTTTTTTGGCTTTCTATTGATAGAAGGTACAAGTAAACTTTAGAGAAGAAATAATTATCACCAAGGACAAAATCACAGGTCATGAATTTATATTAAAAATTTCTATAAGGAAGTGTGTCTACAATGCAATCTAAGAGGGAAGTTAGTGTTTGTGTAGGTCAGTTTATCAAAATATCTCTAATTTTGTCTAGCAGTACTCCATATGCTAGCATGTATGCGATAAGTATATTAATCATAGTTTGATTAGTTTTAATTGCTGAAATAGGTTGATATTTTCTTAGCTTTATCACAGGAAGAGATGATAACCCTCTTACAATTCAGGCTAAGAAAATGGGACCAAAATAAAATCATAATTCAAATCGTGTGTCATTCGAGTATTTGTATGTGCCTTCATAAATTACAATGTTTAATACATTTCAGGAAAAGATAACCTAAATATATAAATTCAGTTCATAAATTACTTATATTTATGGTTTTATACACAATAACACAGGAAAGTAAGAGGACCTAAATAACAAGGAAACCACACCCCAAGGTGAACTTCTGATAAAGAAAAACTTGGCTTCCTGGGACTCGGGGTAAAAGGTAAGCTGTCTCCTTTCAACACAAAGGTCACAGTGTCCCTGCAAGTTCCCGAAACCAGGAAATACCCTGGGGGAACCAACTCACACAACCTGGGTGGCTAGTTTCCTTAGCAGCGTGAGGAAGTCCATCCAGTCCTCCATTCATGCATCAGGAGTCCGGGGTGGGGCAAAGGCAGGTTTACAGTTGTTCACACGGAAAATAACACAATAATTAATAATAAGAATAAACTCCGTGTTTCATGTACTCACAACTGTAAACCTACATTTGCCCCCACCCTGCCCAAATTATGGAGCCCCTGCAACATGCCGGAAAATATGGCATTTTGCCACAGGTCCCCAGGGACTACGGAAGACCAAACGGGGACCACCACCAGAGGGGACAAGCCAGGTGGGTTCACAGCTCCCTGCAGGTCGCAGTAAAAAGCTGAACCAGGTCACTAACTTTCTTCAAAACAATGTGAGGTTATTCAGGTACCGTCTGTTTCCCAAACCTTTCATGGTCTCCGTTAGGTGATGCTGTTCACTGGCCACTTTCATAGATGAGACAGTTAAGGTGTAAAAAAAAGTGACTTGGCTACTCACCAGGAAAATCAAGAACAGATTCAGGGCTTCTGATTGAGAGGTCAGGATTTAGAAAAAAATCAAATGGATATTCTTCACTCAAAATGGCTATTTTTGCAAATGCTGTTACGTAAGTTAATTTCTAAAATAAAGTTAAATTGATTGAGCACAATGGATGTAAAAGAATGCACACTGAATATATACAATTCACAATCAGTGCTCATTATTCAACCGAGAAACAGATGAGATTCCACGGACATTCTGTTAAAGACACGGATATATTTTCAAGCAGTGGAGGTTGGCCAAAAAAGGGTCTGTAACTATGGGAATGCACTCTGTCCTCAGGGTAATTCTAGCAGAAGGAAAAGAGTAACTTTTTTTTCATTTAAATTTGTTCAAGATTCCTCTTTTAAATTTAAAAAAATCCTCAGTGGGGAAGTATATGGCCTGGAGAATAGAAAGTATTCATTTTCCAGGTTCAGCTGAGCTACTTGAAAAGCTGCCTTCTGTGAAGCGATTTTATTAATGATATTTTATCATCCTATTCTTTATTAAATGAACACCTATTAGGCTTAAAATATACATTTAGTGCTGCCCACCAATATCACTGACTTTTTAAAATACACTTGATAGATCAAAGAATACTTAGAAAAATTTTATTCAGGTATAGTTAGTACACAATATTGTATTAGTTTCAGGTGTACAACATAATGATTCAACATTTCTATATTGTGTAATGTGATCACCACACTAAGTGTTGTAATTATCTGTCACCGTGCAAGCTTGTAACACTGCCATTCGCTATATCCAGCTTTATCACCCACCCTCCCCACCCCACTTCCCCTCTTCTAATGGTAAGAGAAACCATTAATCTCTTTCTATAAGCCTGTTTCTGTTCGTTTGTTAGTTTTTTTTAGATTCCACATATAAATTAAACCACATGGTATTTGACTTTCTGTCTTATTTCATTTAACATAATACCCTCTAAGTCCACCCATGTTGTCACAAGTAGCAAGATTTCATTTTTTATTGCTGAATAATATTCCATTATATATATATTCCATTATATATATAATATTCCATATATATGGAATAATATTCCATATTCCATAATATTCCATATATGGAATATAATATTCCATATATAATGGAATATTCCATATATATAATGGAATATTTTATATATATATAATGGAATATATTCCATATATAATGGAATATATTCCATATAATAATTATAATATTATATAATATAATAATAATATATAATATAATATATAATATAATATTATAATAATATATATTATATATAATATATAATAATATATAATATTCCATATATATAATATTCCATATATAATGGAATATTATATATATAATGGAATATTCCATAATATATTCCATATATAATGGAATATATAATGGAATTCCATATATAATGGAATATTATATATATATAATGGAATATATATACATATATATACACACACACACACACACACACACACACACACACCACATCTTCATCCATCTATTGACGGGCATTTGCGTTGCTTCCATATCTTGGCTATTATAAATATCAATAATGCTGCAATGAACATAGGAATACACATATCTTTTTGATTTCGTGTTTTCCTTTTGTTTGTTTTCAGATAAATACCCAGAAGTGGGGCTGTTGGGTGGTACAGTAGAATCTCCCTCCATACTGCTCTCCAATAGTAGCTGCACCAGTTCACGCTCCCACCAGCAGCGTGTGAGGTTCCCTTTTCTCCACATCCCCACCAGCACTTACTTGTCTTTCTGAGGACAGCCATTCTGACCCGTGTGCGGTGGTACCACGTTTCCTCAGCGGTCAGTGATGTTGAACATCTTTTTGCATGTCTATTGACTGTCTGTGTGATTTTTTGGGGAGATGTGTCTCTTCAGGTCCTCTGCCCATATTTTGTAGGTCAAGGAAGACTTGGAGCCTAAGGTCCTAGAGCTGAAAGGTCAGGTTGTCAGCGCCTGCAGAGCCCAGGGGCTGCTGGGAGCTTCCATTTGTGGACACACATGTTCTGCTGCTACAGCCCGAAGAACACTGATCAAAGTCGAAGTTAACACCAGGGTAGAAAGAAGGGTGTTTTTGGAGATGCCACAGATGCCTTCAGGTGTGCTTCCTAGGATCTGACGTCAGACAGAAGGTCAGAGGTCGTGGGAAATCTCCATTGTCTGCCACAATCCCAGGTCATCATGAGCACGTCACCAACTCCTGGCAACTCGGTGTTGTAACGACATGGTTTCCGAAGCGGATTAGCTTATCCTAAGGTTCTTTTTCATTTCTGAAATTCAAGTTTTTACATACTTCTTTCTCATATTTACTCTCTATCTCCCTGCTTTAAATTTACTTTCCTCGTGTATGCAGTGGGAATAAAAACAGCCATTCAGTCCCCAAAACAAACCCCAATGCCATTTGTACATAACCCAAAACACTACAACAGAACTTCAGTATTTGGGGGCAGCTTACCACGTGCTCATTACTTTGCTAAGCATCTGCAACAATCATTCCATTTACTGAAGGTCCTAATCGGAAAGTGGTAAGGCTGGGACTGAACCCAGCAGACCCTTGACCTAACAACCCCTGCGATGCCACTTCTCTGTAGCTGAATCACAACAATCTTCCGGTGACGGAGATTCGAGGGCGGTGGGCACCACTGCAGGGAAACTCCGCATACCCTGCCAACCACCGAACACATCCCACCTCCCCGCCTCCCTCTGTGGTGGGCCAACATCGCTAGCACAGAATCGCATGCGCTCACCCTCAGGGATATTTCAGTTGGAACAGGGAGAAAGCCACAACATACACATATGTAATGATCCCATAAAAGCATCTAAGTATACATCATAATGCTTTATTGGAACTGTGTGTGCAAGGTGGGAAGCCTTGTTTTTTCCTTTCTTTTGAGTTAGAAGTCTGATTTCCCATGCTAACCATAATGCTATAGTACGGTAAACATTCATATATTGTCAGTTTAAACAACGCACACACTCTATTCCATGCATCAAAACGTAAATGGTCACAAAAGAAGCCAAGGCGGAACCACTGTGAAAGTCACAACGTTTATTGAAGAACAAACACATTTGCAAATCACAGGCTGCACGGGCATCGAGTCCACCGTTCACAATGCTGTTTCATTCTGCCTCCTCATACAAGCTCTTTCTAAAACAACAACTGAAAGGGCAAGAATGTGTCCATTAGTTACATTTACAAAACCAAGCCTGCAGCTTACTCTTAGAACACTCTGTGTGTGCCAACTTGGATGTGCATGCACTGATCATTTGGGGCCACGCACGCATTTCCGCATGGGCGGGAATGTTCAGTGAATAATGCTGCCCTAACCCAAACAGCACCTCAGAACACTGTCACGCTTAGGGAACGGGGAGAAACTGCAGTGAACCACAGAAGCCCTAACATTTGCCCCGGTCATTACACCACCCTGCCCTCAATGCCCACGGCACAGCATGTCACTTTTGGAAGAGTAAGGGCGAACTTGTCTGGCAGAGGGCATGCTACAGAGTACATCTAGAAAAGACATTTGCCGTCTTAGATAATATGTAAAAGTTGACTTTTTTTGGTTCCAGTGGGAGAAATGTCGGTCAAATTGTCTAAAAGATAGCACCCAGCTCTTACTGTGAAATTTGACCTCCCATTTTCCTCTAAAAGTTCTCTTACACCAATCATAAAAAATTTAAAGTTCATTTTCAAGAATTTAAACTACTTAAAAGAAAACATCTATTTTGATAAGTAAAAATGGTTATGTTCATTTTTCTAAACTACTTTTTCTTTTTCTTTTTTCTTTTTTTTTTTGTCTTTTAAGGAAATATCTAAAATAGTGATCATGGAGTAGAAACTTAACTTGATTTTTTTTTCTCCTTGAAGATTAATAATATAAAGTTGAATAGGAATTTCTAATCAAAGAATCTGAATCATGTAAAACATCTGATGTAAGAATATCTAATTGATGATCCTTGAGGCTGTTTTAAGAGCAAAATTAGAAATTCTAAGACAGAGAGAAAGCCTAGCTGATTTGCTTTGCTCTGTACAATCAATTTTGCGTAATTTAATACAGCATCTATTATGGCTTTATTCTAAACGCACACTGTCAGCTAATCTCTTCTAAGAATTCCCTGTTGGTTGGCTCTTGGTCTGAATGGAGAACGTGTAATTTAAGGTCGGGCTCGAGATCATTTCTTGTTTATGTGTCTGGAATTATATTCCACTCTTTATTCCTTATGACTCTGAAATTCAGAGTTTTTCCACCTGCCAGAACACAGTATTTGGACACCTAATTAAATACTATATGTACGAAGTTATAGAAACCAAATAGTCTGTCCAAAAATTTGATTTTCTTTAACTTGTCCTTCTGTTATTCCTCAACACCCAGGCAAGGGACCTGTTTACAACACTCCTGAGGACAGTCTCGGTTTTCCAGCAGGTGCCCCCAGTCCCGGGCACACCTGGTTTCCCCTCGCAGACAACGGTTTGCTGGTTCACAGGCACCTGCTTCGTACCCTGGCTGACTTGACCCCAGAAGCAGCTTTGGGGGAAGGCCCCTTTGCATTCCTCGTTTGGAAGTCAAGTCACACAAACCACAGGAAAATGCACATATGCCACTCACTAATTTGCACATCAAACTTATGAATCTAAAGCCTTTATAAAAGAGGACAATTAGAGAAGCATTTTCACACGTGCCTGTGTGACGATTCCCAGACTGGGCAAGTGCTGGCCTCACAAATTCGCCCACGCTTGCGCTCAGTCAGTACACATGCACTCAATGGCCACCGTGAGCAGCCACTGTAACTTTTCCTCTTCTCCTTCCTCAAAGAAAGCAAGGAGGGGGGGCCTTATTCAGGGGGCTTAAGGCAGCATAAGAACGTGGCAGTTTATGCTTGAGTTTTCTTGTCAATTTTCAGGTAATCTTTGGAAAAAGTAAAGATGGTAACTGACAGTCAAGAAGGAAAGAGAGAGAGACACTGAGCACCTACTATGTGCATGCACTGGGCCAAGAACTGTGTGGGTGTAGGATACAGAACTCCTAAGCCTCTTAAGAATGGTAGGAGGTATTACTTTGACCTAAGATCTGTCAAACTCCAAATTAAAAATTCAATTCTTATTGTTTTGTTGTTGACTTTGCAACACCAAGGTGTTAGAAACTGCTTGAGTGTGTGGATAAAGAACAGAAACTATTCTATGTGGATGTAAAGAAAGTTCTTTGGTGGCTATGCATTCCCTATGCCAAGAAATATTTTCTGGAAATAAAATCTTTTTTCTCACTCCCACAAACATTCTTTTAAAATGAATTTGAAGCAAATTTTGCTATAACCCTCCAAATTCTTCAATATTAGGAAGTAAACATTTGTAATCAATCTCTCTGATGTTCTAGGAAAAACATATCAAGATAATCCTCTAGTTTTGATAATGTATTTGTCCTTGGACTACTTCCTTTACATTAAAAAATTAAGAATATCATGAATGCTTGATAAAAGAAAAGACACTGAAAAAATTACTCTTTTTAAGAGTAATTATCGCCAAGATACAATTCACGGCAAGACTATGCTTTTCTCTTATAGTCTAGCTCTTACTTCATCCTGATTGCATTAGACTGCATCCTAATGCCCACAGTGACAGTAATAGATTTTTCAGAAGCGGGGTCGCTGCTAGCAACAGTTCGGCAAAGGCATGTACGTGTACATCTGTGAAATACATCTGCCACAGAAGCCGCACCTGGAAATGAGGTCTCTAACAGGAACTCATTTATTATCATAACAAATTATATCTGTAATCTATACAGACCCTCCCCCACTCCTGAAAAAAAATATGGCTGGCTAATTTTAAAGACTCTAGATCACCAGAAAAGTTAAAGTTTAATTGGAGGATAATCCTTACAAAACTGCAAGCTATGTATATTTAAAGGACAACATGTACATGCTTTTAGAGCTTAATTTCCTTGCATTTACATTAGGAATGAGACTGAGTTTATCTAGTATCTAAATTAATCTCTAGAAGTAGCTGAACCCTATACATTTTGGATTTTTAAGGCAGCGTTGTAATCAAATTGCCCTTGGAGACCTGACCTGCCTCCCCCTCCCCAGGGACCAGCAAGCACCAGGAAGAAATGCATATAGATGTCTTTCCTTTTGGGTGTTCCCAGCTCTCGGGCTTCACGGCACTGCGGCAAACTTCCATCTCTCACGCACTTCGCAGCACAGGAAAGATTCTGCGATACGACACCGCTCAGATAGCTACTCTCAGAAGCTGCCTGACTCCGGAGCTTGTTGCCTATCTCGTATCTCTTCTGATAATCTCCTTGTAACTCAATTTTTAGTCCCATCCACACGGTTGCTTTTTCCCAGCAGAAAATAAAACTGCCAGTAGCCAAAGGCAAGAACAATAGGAATCAGAAAAACTCCACAGTCATCTTAAGTTCCTCCTTCCACCTCATTCTGCTCTCCTTTTTGATGTGGTTAGATGGGGTTCTTAACCCGGCAGAGACGGCGAGTGACCTGAGAGATACAAACAGACTCTTTTCTTAATTATTGTTACATCTATGGGGTGTACAGGTTCAAGGTCATGACCGGCTTAGATGTTACGGCTTACCATGAGTCACTACAGAGGCAATGTGTAACAATGTTTAAGAAAAGTGTTTGTATCTCTCAGGTCAGCTGCGGCCACCTGAAAGCTCACTGCCACTGCCCACCTCCCTGCCCCCACGGACCTGAAGCCAGATGCCAAGAGCGAGGTGGGGTGAGGCTCTGCACCAGCCTGGCAATGCCCGTGGTGAGGAGAACCGGCCCCAAGAGCCAGAGCTGACGCCTTCGCAGTGTGTATCAGCACAAGGCAGTCTGATTGGTCCTAACACCAAACTTCAGCCAGAACCAATTTAAAAAGAAAAGCTCGAAAAAAAATGGCTTCCTTTGGTCATGTTCCTTAATGTGCTAGCTTTATAAATGGATCTATATATGAAATGACTATATAAAGTACCTTAAAATAAGAATTCCCTCACCAAACTATTCAATATAAAATTATATAAACTATCTCAACCTATGAAAACACAGTCCCATATAAAGTGAAAAAAAAACAGGTTGAAAAACAAAATTAAAGCTACTCTTATCAAGTTAAAGGTTAATTTAAAAATAATGTAATTACTAGCTAATGCCAGAAACCGGCTGTTTGTCTGATATTATACTTAAAATTCATTAAACCCCCAAACCTTAGCTAACCTCATTTATTTTCCTCAAGAACTCATAGAATAGAGGGAAGAATCCCAAAATATGCCTAAGACTGTATCTCACAATGGTGTATCCTTTAAAAATGAACCCAGTACTTGTTAACGTGTAATGTCACTGCCTCGTTTCTAGCTCTCATAAGTTAGTTACCCAGCAGACTGATTATTCCAGAATTTTTCCAAGCAAAAGGTTAAGTTGATGAGTATTTCCAGCATCACCATCCATTTCCCTTTTTGAAAGAAGGTCCTAAATATGCCCTTTTCCAGTCTTCAGGCACCTCACCAGTCCTCCACGGGTTCTCAAAAATGATATCTAGCGGTTCTGTGATGACTTCGGCCAATTCATTAAGTACGCTAGGATGCCAGCCAGGGGGACCTGTGGATTTGAACATAGGGGGGTTACTGAGGTTCTCCTTGACCCATTCTCCCCCTAGTTCAGCACGGGTTCCTGCTCCTCGTATTTTAAGTCAGAGTTGTCTCTTTCTGCATATCGCCTGGACTTTTGAGAACCAGCTTTAAGTTCTGCTTTTTGATCTATTAATTTTGTCTTTGAAATTAATAAACACAAGTATACTTTATTCTTCTTAAGCCTACTCTTCTGAAGTTTTGTTTTAAAGAGGTTTCTTTCCTTTTTCCTCTGATGTTTCTTATAAGACAAGATAGTAACACAAAATTAACTGTGCATCACGTAACAGTTTGCCTTCCTCAACCACATCACTCAACACTATCCTTCAGCATCTGTTCTAACAGAGTAGCAGTCAGCACACTGGGGAGCCTTCTAAACGCTCCATATCCATGCTCAGAGGGTGCGCATCCAGTAAACTCGCACCTCCAAGTGCTCCTTCAAAATGCACCTTCCAAAATAACACCGATTCACAGTCCCTTTCCATCCTAATCCTGTGCATGCAGAGGCAGTAACTTTTTCACACACACACTCACATTTAAAAAGCATGGTGGTACAAGAGCTAGAAAGAGGTTACGAGGACTTCTCACAAAGCAGTAAAGTGAGCAGAATTCACATGCAGTTGTATGGTCATCTGTGCCAGTGTCTGGGGTTGACCTTACACCAAGGATCTCCAGGCTCTGAGAGGGGTCGACAGTTTTAACCCCTTCATTGTCACAAGGAGTCTTACGAAGTTGAAAGGCAGCAACAGATTACAGTTCCCTGCCCATCTGTCACGGCCTTGCCGTGCGCCGAGACTCCCTCGACAGATCTGCAACGGACAAAGGAGAGGAAGACAGGACAGTGCGGGGGAGAGAGGACACCCGTCTTCCTCAAGGTGTCTGAGATGACAAGGGGGATTCGGCTGTTTACTTGTTTTGTTTTTGCTTTTAATTGGAAAAGTTTTTACAAAAGGGGGAATCTATTTTTGCTTTCTTTTGTCTTGTTTTTCTAGTCTGTATCTCTCACTGCCTGCCCCCACTTTTATGCCTTACAAAAAATAATTCCCATTACAGGACTCATTAAACAGACTCTCCTGAAAAACAATCATACACACTTCTCTAGGGTGCGACAATTTGTTGGAGCACATGCCATGTGCACCCCTGCTCAGAGAGCCACCTGCTGATGGCAGTATGTTAACTAACATGTCATCGCTAATTAGCTTGGGTAACTACTTCCAGCAGTTGCATTTGTATGGAAAGAAAGTATTACTGTCCATGCTCAGAAAATTTCTTTCTCCAGAGAAGCTAGCTATTTTCAGACCTTTGTGTGTGTATGTGTGCAATTCTAAGTAATAACAACTTATCATCGATATATTCAAATAGTCACTCAAAGAAACCCATCAAGCCAATATCTCTATTAAAATCACCTTCTGTTACAAACTTTGAAAACGTGATATGCAATCTTTCTTTCGTGGGGAGTGAGAAGTTCACCTTAACATGAGGAAGGCAACACTGTTTGGTTTTTAGCGCTTTACTACGTGAATAAATGAAAAGACATTACACTAAAATCTAGTTCCCCCGTAGTGCCAGATAACTCGCCATTTCTATCAGAAAACCCAGAAAGAGCCTCGGGTTACAGCATCAGCAGATACTAAGGGACAGGATGGGGCCGCCAAGCAGGGAGGCCACATCGTGAGGACGAGGACGTTTTTATTCAAACAAAAGCTTCTCAGATGTCGCCCTGCTAGATCTAGCTCTGCCTGCAGCCAGGAAGAGGGCCTTGCCCCCCCGTGAAAGGTCATTTTATTGTAGAACCATGAAAATAAAGACAATGATTTCAGAAAGGTTATCATCTAGCAAGGGCAGACACCCCCCGCCCCCGCCCCATACTGAACTTTTCTAAAGATGAGGATTATAGGGTCATTCCAATCCAGCATCCAGCTCACAGCCCCCGAAACCTCTCGTGTCTTTGGCTGAACAGAAAACAAACCGCATTCATTAAACAAGCCCAGCCTTGCAAGTTGCTGCGTTTCATTCTTTGGGGGAGCGGGTGGGAGGCAGACAAACAGGATTTCGGCAGTCGGGTCATGGAGAGTTCCAAGATGTGAGAGCAGCGCGGAGCGCAGTAATTAGCCGAGCGAGCACACGTTGCTTCACAACCACGGGAAACGCCAGAACCTTCCCCAGGTACGGGGGCTCCGCCAGGCTCCGGAGGCTGACAGGCGCGGGACAACCCCACTCCCGCTCCCGCTCCCGCCGGAGCCTGCTTCTACCCCAGTGCAGTAGGAGGGGGCAGATTTTTAACATTCTGACCAAGGTGAAGGGGCTAGCTGCTGGAAAGAATTCTTCTGGGCCAACAGGCAGGGCCAGTCCGGGCTCGCTGCACACAGCTGCCCCCCCACGCGCACAGTCACGTTGCGCCCTCCCCTAAACCACCTGCCACCCTCCTCCCAGAGAAAAGCTCCTTCTGCACGCCACCGAGAACAGTAATCCGTCTATACGTGTGTGTCGTCGTCTCTGGGTGTAGTACTGGGCTGACCTAAAAATCGTGAAAGGAACGGCCTCACATCTGGTCCTTTCTCATGCAAGCCAACCTCTGGGACAATCAATAGCAAGTTATATTTTGGGTTCCATTAGCGCTCCTGAAGTTTCGCTATTTTAATAAACAGAGTTTGTAAAACATGAATGCCAGCAGTGTGTATGTGATCTGCCCGTTCCTAGGAACCATTACTGAGAGGTTTATTCTCAGGTTGGCCTGTCTCCCCTTACCTGTCTTAGAGACCACTTGTCAATCACAGAGTTCATGTGTTAGGGCCGCACACACCTAATCCTTGGGCTGAACTGTGTAACTCCCCAATTTGTTCTAGGCTATGACGGGGGATGGGAAAGGTGTGGGGGAGCCTCCCATTTCAAGGTCTTTGGCAACTGTCCTGATCTGAGAAGCATGGAAGGGCAGGAAACATTCTTTGGTGAATAAAGAAACTATAATCCCATGGCTAAAAATTATGATTTGTGAGATTACATTTTTTCTCCATTTATTATTTTGATTTTTAATTGATTTCAAGTCTGTTACTCCTTTTACTTGTGATAACCCCTAATCAAAGGCAATCGGAACCATAGGCAGGCTAACCCACTTAGAAGTTACTTCTCTATTGTGATACTATGCTAATGACGTATTAGCTCCAATACAGTTATAGACCCAATAGACATGCATTTCCCACACTTGGTTGCTGGGGGAAAAAATAATAATAAAACTGGTTACTGTACATTGAGAGTCCATGCAATTCGTTTATAACTCACGTTAAAACGTGAGTTAGGAATGACAGTGCAAATGTTGCCCCCTCTCCTCCTTGGATGGCGAAAGGGACACAGAGCTGAACCTTGGGGCCCTTGGCGACAGGACACAGGACATTTTCACTGCACGACTTTCTCAAGCTCAGTTTACCAGCATTCAGCCACATCACAGTGCCCAGCACCACGGGGCCAAGGGAGGCTGGGGGTCTGCTCAGAGAGATGGGGGGGCTGCCACACCGCCTCATTTTAACTGTGGACTTCTCCGAGGGCAGGAACACGTTTTACTCTTCTTTTATCTCCTGCGGGAATATTATCTATAACGTCACACACTACTACTGCTGCCGGTTGATTGAATCTCCCACACTGTAATTCTCACACATCATTTCTCAGCCAACTAAGTTCCTACCAGGAAATTTTAGTCCAGCACATCAGATAGGAGTATAAATTCCTTTGCCTCTACAAGGGAGAAAAAGTTACCAATCTGTGCGTGTGTTCACGAAACCCAGATGTATCTGAATGGCCAACTCGCTGTCTTTGAAGGCCTCAGGGGTCTTGTCTCACCGGCTGTGCTGTGGAGGCCCAGGCTGCCGCCCAGACGCCACGCTGGAGGCCGCCCTGTGTTAAACAGAGAGCTGTCTCTGCTGGAGGAGACTTACAGGGTAGATTTCTTTAGATTGACTGATTGATTGGTTTTAGAGAGAAAATAAGAGAGAGGGAGGAAGGGAGAGAGAGAACGTTGATTTGCTGTTCCATTTATTGATGCATTATTCCTTGGTTGATTCTTGTACGTGCCCTGACCGGGGATGGAACCTGCAACCCTGGCGTATGGGGAGGACCCTCAAACCAACGGAGTGATCCGCCATGGCTTAGGGACACTACAGAAGAGAAGACTGTTCAAACTCCTCCAGAATATTCTGCACACGTGCATATATTTTTTGCTTTGAACACAAATACCCAAATGCTGCATACATATTGTGGACCACCACCCTGCCATCATCCACCATGTGTCCTTGCAAAACACTGATGTACTGCCTGGCTCCTGAACAAACCAAGCGGGTCTTAATAGACAGCACTGCTTCTCACTGCCTCCTCGTGACCCACACGGTTCCAATCTTCACTCGGGTCTTATCTGCAGGTTTTCAGCAAATGCAAAGTAGACTAAAGAGGCTGGAAATTATCCCACCTGCTTATTATTCAGAAAACTCACAGAAATGAATTCAGGGGTTAAAAGATAAAAGCGCTTTTGTTTATGCAATCCTCAGGGTATTAACCAATTTTATAATTTTTTCCAACTGAATAACTATGTAAATCCCAATTTCTTAAAATCATTGTGTTGTACTCATCACCGAATACTCTGAATGTGCTAAATTCCCACACAGGGGTTATGGTCTGCAAGCCAGAACCACCTGCCTGCCTCGAGGTACAGCCATGTCTTATCTCTACCAGGAAGAAATTACCAGGACTTATCTGTTGGGATTTCTAGATTGTTCTTTCAACAATTTTATAATAATTAACAGCTTGTCACAACATGAAGCTGGGGCTAAGTCACTATTCTTTCCTGAAATCTAAAGTACAGTTAAAGAGACAAAATGTTAGCTGGAGGGGCCAGCGCCTTCAAGACAAAAGAGGGAGTGTGGGCACATTTATGGACGAAGTGAAAGGATTCTATGGGGACAGACTAAATGCAAGAAAATAAAG